AAAAAGTGGACTGTTTCTTCTAAAAAACAAACTTTTCATTCACGAAACACGGAAGGGAAACTCTCTGGAACGGGCTTGGCTCCTGGCGAGTTTCGGAGCGTTTGGACACGCGGCCCGGCAGACCATTAGATGAGTCGCCGCCTCGGGGGGGGTGCTCGGTGGGGTGCCGGGCTCCCGCTCCCGACCGCGCAGGACTTTCTGCCTGGCCACGAGGCCACACCGGCCAGCCAGGCGCTTCCGCCACACTTCCAGCCAACAGGCCACGTGTGGCCCGGGCGCCGCAGGGCGCACGCAACCCGCCTCCCTCTCAGACCCGTTCCCCTCATTAAGCAACAAGTGACATACGCCACACGGCTGGGGACTTCACACCCACCGGCTGCCCCCAGCCTCCCTGCCTCCCTCTGTAGCCCCCAACCCCAGGACACCCCGGCACGGGCTCTGGGCCTGGAGCGCCCTGTGTGGGGGGTCTCTCGCGCCCCCTCTGAAGCTCCCTTCTCTCACCCCTGCACAGGGAGAGGGGGTAACTCAGGGCAGAGGGAAATGCAGGGGTGGTGGAGGGCGGGGGCGCAATTGAGTCCTGGGATCATTCTGGCCCCCCGCACGTGGGGAAGGGATTCTCAGCTCCTGCGGACACCTGGCCAGGAGCCAGTGAGGAGCGAGGACAGGCCACCATCGCCCGTGAGCCCCAGGCGGCCTGGGGAAGGGGCAGGGCCTCCAGGGACAGGCCTGGGGGTGGCTGCCTGGCTGGGACCCACAGGAGGGGAGACCTGCCGCCCAACACAGCTCTGTCCTGCTCGCTCAGGACGCAGCCCGGGCGGGGAGGAGCGCCCCACTTCCCGGAATCACCCCCTCCTCCACCCCGCACTGCCCGGCCTGGCCCCGAGGCCCCAACCCGGCGGGCCCCCAACTGTCACCTCCAGGGGCGACTCGCCAGGTGGAGGCCGCAGACACCTGTCTTCTCCAAAGGAGCCGCCTTCACGGGCCTCCCCGGGGGCGCAACGGGTTAAAGCTCAGCACTAGGAAGCTGTCCGCAGCCACTGCAGCCCAGAGTTCAATCCCTGGCCAGGGAGGTGACCAGGGAGTGACCCACAGAGCGCAGCAGACCTCTCCTGTCTCCCTGCTGCTCCCCTCAGCATTGTGTTTCACTCCATCTTCCTGTTCTGCTCCCCACTCTGTCTCTGGTGAATCTTCTCAGCCCTTGTGCCTCTGGCCTGCACCCCAGTTCTGTGTGCCCAGTTCTGTATGCATAAATAAATAAATCTTTAAACAAAAATAAAGGAGCCACCTTCCTCCCCAGTATTTGGGGTTCTCGGGCTCAGGGTGCAGAGGCTGGAGGAGGGGCCACGTGACTCCTCGCCACCCCATCTGGTTTGAGGATGTCTGTGTTTCTGGGAGGAATTTCCTGAAATGAGTCTCATGAGTGTCTGCTCCTGGAAACTGGTCCCCCAGTCAGGGGCGCCCTCGGGCCAGGCAGGGCCAGGCCCGCCTCCCGTCCCCATCAGGACCACCCAGGCCTGGGCCCAGGGCTTCTTGCACAGAGGCAGCAGGGGTGCAGGCTGCCAGGGTCAGGGCAGGGCAGGCTGGACTGAGGAGAGGGGAGGCCGAAGGGCAGGCTGCCCAGGAGGCGGGTCCAGCTGGGGGTGGGGAGGAGCGCTGGGGCAAGAGGGGGGCCGGGCTGCTGGAGGGGGCCGGGAAGAGGCAGAAGGCCTGGCCAGAGGCAGCTGCCGGGAAGAGTAGGAGACCAGAGGCCAGGAAAGGAGGTGAGGAGGGGGGCCTGGAGCAGACGAGCACCGGCAAAGGGCCAGGAAGAAAAGTCTGTGGCCTGTCCACTGGTGCTTCCACCCCTGACCTCCCGGTCCTGAGGCCACTTTACAGGCAGAGTTCTTGGGGAGGGCTAGGACAGACTGGGGGATCAGAAGCCTTGGGGTGGGGGGTGCGAAGACCCCTGCAAAAGAGGCAAAAAGAGGTAGGTGTCCCCGAACATGATAAGGGTGAGGGGTGCCAGGCGGGACCCCCATTTCTGGGTTTAGGGGCAGGGCGGAGGTCAGCCCCCACCCCGGGAGGATTAAGCATTCTCCCCTTTCCCACCCACTCGGGGCCCCTCCCGCCGTTGACGTCCTCCCAGAAATATTCAGGCTCCAGCTGGCGCCTCTCTAGGCCTCTCTCCCCCTGCTGCCTGTCCCCTCCTGCCTGTCCCCTGCTGCCTGTCCCCTGCTGCCTCTCCCCCTGCTGCCTGTTCCCTCTTGCCTGTCCCCTCCTGCCTCTCCCCTGCTGCCTGTTGCCTCCTGCCTGTCCCCTCCTGCCTCTCCCCTCCTGCCT